GCATTTCCCGTCTGTTAATCCTGGAAATTGGTAAGCCTCCATCAGATTGTCGTTACAGCGGGTTAGTCTTTGTCCTCTTATCTGGATTCAAGTTGAGGACAGAGGACGAGACGAGGATCCATTCCTTTTGCCTTCGTTTGTTCTCTTCCCTGGATGCGGCATTATCCTGGATTTTATTGTATGCTGTCATGTCCTTCACCTCCCACTCACTTTGTTCACTCGGTTCATCATGTGTCTGTTCTTCCTGTTCAGGTCCTGAATGATTGTGGATGAAAATAAGATAAAATCGACCTTCGTGCCTCAGCTTATGAATTAGACCGTGAGGAAATGGTGACGAGCGGGCGTGATGAATGAGGCTGGCCTGTAATCAAGACCAATTTCCTGTCAACAAAGAATAAGTAAATAAGAAATGAAAAGATACAAAAAATATTAAAATAACGAAATTATAGATGATTGGAGGCATTTCCCGTCTGGTAATCCTGGAAATCGGTACGCCTCCATCATATTGTTGTCACAGCGGGTTAGTCCTTGTCCTCTTATCTGGATTTAAGTTGAGGACAAAGGACGAGACAAGGATCCATTCTTTTCCCTTCGTTCGTTCTCTTCCTTCGTCCATCGCTTCACTCCGTCTCACTCCGTCTCTCTTCTCTAATTCTCAGGGTTACATGTCATTGACGAAGGGAAAAGTGACATGGGAAAGAGAGTTAACAAGCGAGGAATGACAAATTATAGATAATATTTTTGCAATTCCTCTTGCCTTCTCTCTTTCCTGGTCTTTGACCTACAGCATAGAATGGTGGTTGGGTGAAAGAGAAAAAGGAAAGGGAAATAGCTGCCTTTCCGTCTATCACCTCATCCTTTCCCACCGTCTCACCATGTCATCTATCCCTTTTCATCTCATGCCTCACTAGCGGTTCATCTCATAATCCTTCCTCGCAATCAAGATTCAACCGAAAGGACAAGGCAGAGGATGGGAACGGTCTGTTTCCTTTGTTCCCCCCCTTTCACCTGTCTGTTCGCTTCCTTGTAATCCAGCTTCATCCACAGACAGGAAAGAGAAAGAGGATCTGGAAGCACCTACATCCCTGCTTGTCCTCTGCTTCTTGTACCTTCGCAGCATTTTTGGATGAACCTCATTGGCAGCTATTGGTTTCTAGATTCATGAGATTTATTATTGGCCGCTGTGTGTCCAAGAACTCAAGAACCGAGCGGGATGGACAGGTGATAAGACTCATTGGGATGAGTGCGACTCCTCTCTTCGTTCGGGGGTTATCTTCATCCCTTTATCCTCGCTGTCAAGGGTTAGACCAAGAGACGGAGATAAGATGGGATAAAGGGTGACAGGAGAAGGAAATGAAAAGATGCCCACCATTTCCTCCTTCCGTTGTCTGGTCTCTCTATTTCTCTTTTTTACAGCGCACAATAAATCCAAAATGAGATGAAAGGAGATGGAAAGGGATGGCATCTTTATCTTTGTCATGCAATCTTTACCTTTCCCTGTCTTACCATTCCACTCACCAATGAAGGTTGAACGTGTACTCGCGAATCATTCTCTGAGTTCAACCGCCAGTCAAGGAAGGTCCAACATTCCCGTTTCCTTCTTTCCTGCTCTTGGGATTACCGCCAGGCGAAGATACCAAGGAGGGGGAAGGAGGAGGTGGGATGTGGTCAGGTCGTTATCCCACATCTCTCTCCACTACCGCTTGCCTCAGCTCTCAGAATCTCTTCGTCATAGCGGTTAACCTCTATCACGCACTCAAGCACTATTCCCACCTACATCCCTTTATCTTGGATGGTGCTTATCTTTCCCATACTTTCCCTGTCTTTCACCTTATCTTTTTCAGCTTAAACATATTTGACAAATAGATGAAAAAGGTGAAAGGGAAAGACACAGGAAAGCAGCTAATAAGATCCTATATCCTCATCAGTTTTGTCTTTGCTTTAGGATTGTTTCGCGAGCTGAAGTGAAGGTAAAACGAAAAGCGAAAGGGACATATTAAAAAGAGAGCCAAAAGTAGTAAAAGAAAAATATATGAAAAGATAATGACAAATAACATACAGATAAGAAGATAATCATAATCACATGTCATGCGACGCCCGAGTACGAGTGAGCGCAAAGCGCCTTCTTAGATAATGGAATACTGCAGGATGTCATCCGAGCGTGGAAAGATACGATGCCTATTGAATCTTTTTGAGTATGAGAGCTGGAGAGTGAGTGCGTTGCAAGCGGAGAGAAATCACAGTCCCTCCCCCGTGAGACTAGATGCCACGTGCCACAATGAAGATGATGTCAAACCCATGCTGTATTAAGTATTAGCAGGCTAAGGTTTGTATGCTCTTTGCTTCCGGCATAGACCAACCCATGTACAACTCATGCAACCAGGCTCAGGCGAAAGACTGCTGCTTTGCAGTCTTCAACTGCCACTGCTTCCAGCACACTTGGGTAGAATCTTCCTTGCCACCCGCCCCCCCCCCCCCGCCCACCTGCGTGCGTTGGCACGCGTGAACAGCTTACCCGCTCCGCCCCCCCCCCCCCCTCGCGGATGACCGGGCACCGTGCGCGGATGACCGGAAAACACGTGCGCAGAAGGCAAAATGTCACGTTTTCGACCACGTGCGGCACGCAGATGACCGGTTTTCATGTGCGCAGACGACCCCCTGCCGTTTATCAGCCCTCATCTATGAAGCAGACATATTATTCCCGGGTCAACATTAAGATTCGCCCTCATGTATGAGTGTATCTCCAAACGAGATTCAAATGTGATTTTGTTCCCCAAAGTTTCCCTTTAAGACAGACGATAAAGCAGTCAACAGGCCAAGCACATTGGCATTTGGGACCTGGATGCTTTCCTGGAGCAGCTGTCCCAGCACTGCACCATCTGCTTGGCCTTGGACCGGGACGTTTGCGGCCCCTCGAAATGCGCTTCAATGGCTGCGCTGTGCCGCTGCTCAAGCCAAGCGGACGGGCGGTGGGGGGGGAGGTTGGAAGCCCAGAAGAAGGATGAAACATGTTGAACCAGATGGGTGGCCCAACCCTGGACGTGTTTTTTTTGGTGCGGCCTTTGAAAAGTTTCCCCAAAATGGCCGGCGTCTCGTTAACGCACTGCTGGGCTTGGGTACTCGCGCGTGTCATGGTTTTTGTTGGGGTTGGTTGTGAGACATTCGACAAGGATTTCAGTTAGATATGATTGGGCCATGGGGCACAGGATTGGCTGAACATCACAAGCTAGGCCGGCTTCAGTGGTTGAATCAGGTGTACTGTACAAGCGTCTTCCAAGCCTCAGCTCCAGGAAGGAAACCTGTGTCTTCGCGCCTGGGGAGCCAAGAATGCTTGTCAATTAGGCCAACAATGCTTGTCAATCAAGCGCCGGCTAGCCACCCCACACAAAGCCGCAATTTACCAGCTTACACCCCCACAGAAAACCAGTGGACTTCATGAAGCCCCACTGTTCTGCAAAGGACACAAACACCGACAAACACCACAACCAACCACACAAGCAGCAACAACAACCACGTAGCGCAATGCTTCTTCACAAAGATTTCCCTCATTTTTTTGGCCATGCTCCCAATCTGATTTTTGTGGGATTCATGTAGCCTTGAACAGCTGTGAAAAGACCAAATTGGAAAGGATATGTATGCGGTTACTAAGACAGACAGACACACGTGTTGTGTGTGTGTGAAGACGAAAGATGGGTTCACTACCCAGTTTTGAGCAGGGGGGCTGGTCGCCCACACAAGTTGCAGCCCAACGAAGAGGCTTGTGTGACATCAGTCAGGACGCTCACTGACGTACCTGCAACAACCTTTTTCCTTTTTGTCAGTGATGAATCCGTGTACATAGCGTTCTTTCGGCTTGAGCCGAGAGTGTCGTGTTCGTGAGGGCCCCTCAAACGTTCAGCTGCTCTGAGCGCGGCTGAAAAGTGTGACAATTGCTTGGCGCGTTCGTCAAGGCGCGAAGTGGCCCCGACCTCCCTCAGGCGTTAAGTGCCTACGGTGAAGGCTGGGCCCCGTTTAGGCCCACGGTTGCTTGGAGGGATCCTCGTTGCTCAGGTTCAGCGCCCGCAAGGCAGCGTGCTAGGTTTGTAAAGTTCCAGCGCGCGCTCCCTTCCTTGCATCCTCCTGTCTGACTGTGCCATGTGACTTGTGATATGCGCACGTTGTCTGGGACTCTCTTACACTCTCGTTTGTGGGCTCGGGCTCTGAAACTGTACATATTTGTCCAGACCTGCGCATATCTGTACATATTTGTACATAGCTACACATATCTGTACGTGTCTGCACATGCTTGTACATATTTGCACAACCTTGCGCATACCTGTACATACCGTACATCTATCTTTATACTCGACTCGTACATAGCTGTACATATCTGTACATACCTTCCTAGTGTTTCTCTGATGAATCCGTGTGCGTGGCGTTCGTTCGGCTTGAACCGAGAGTGTCGTGTTCGTGACGGCCCCTCAAACGTTCAGCTGCTCTGCGCGCGTCTGAAAGTGTGTGTTTGTGTGTGTGTGTGTGTGTGTGTTGATGTCTGTGTCGTTGTCTGTGTCTGTGTGCGTGGCTGTGTGTCAGTGCGTCAGTGTGCCTGTGTGTTTGTGTGTCTGCGTGTCTCTGTGTGTCTCTGCGTGTCTCTGTGTGTCTCTGTGGTTCTCTGTGTCTGTGTGCACCTGCGTCTGCGTGTGATGTGTGATGTGTGGGTGGGTGCTGGCTTGCGTGCATACGTGCGCAAGCGTACGTGCGTTGGGTGTGCGTGTTTGTGTGTCTGTGTGTATTTTTTGGTGTGTCTGTGTGTTTGTGTGTCTGTGTCTGTGTCTGTGTCTGTGTCTGTGTCTGTGTCTGTGTCTGTGATCGTGTTCGTGTTCGTGTTCGCGTTCGTGTGTGCGTGTGTGTGTGTGTGTGTGTGTGAGTGTGAGTGTGAGTGTGTGTGTGAGTGTGTGCGCGTTGTGTTGTGTCACATTGCATGGCATTGTGTTGAGTTGTTTGTTGTTCTGCGTTGCGTTGTGTGTTGTTGCTTTTATTTCTTTGGGTCGCCTGAGCTGAAGGCACCTCTTCGGGATCTCGGAGCAAGAGTCCCCAGAGCCTGACGCCGAAGAAGAGTGTCCTGCTGTGTGCGAGGTGGCTAAACAGCGCAAAATAGCCTCGGCGCTGGCACTCGTGCCGCAACGCTTAAGACTGCCGGAGCTGAAGGAGGAAGAGGAAGATTTTGCGCAGGTGCTGAAGAAGCAGGCGAAAGCCGAACAGGAAGAGAAGACAGATAAGAAGGTCAAGGTCTTCGCAGACCCCTACGAAGAGGAGCGCCAGCAACGGCGCGCTTGGGCCACCTCCTTGGGCAAGTTCGGGGTGATTGATCCGCCCGAGCAAGATCTCCCTGCGCCGGCTCCTAGCTGTGGGATGTGGGACTTGGTGCGTGCAGAGGCCAAGAAGAGACAGGCGCAAGCGGCCCCGGCGACCTCTCGGAGTGGGTCCTTTCAGAGCAGCTCCAAGGAGTCTCTTTCCCAAAGCCCTGCGGAAGGCGAGCAAGGCAAGCAAGGCAAGCAGCTCAGAAGAGCGGCGTCCTGGGATGAGTGCAAGGCTTTGAAGGCGGTGGTGGAGCTTCGCGTGCGCCGCTCCGACCTTTGGGCTGCACTCACCATCACGGAATCTGAGAAGCGGCTGCGGAGCAGGTGTTTAGTAGAAGAGCTTTGCAAGCAGGTGTGGCAGCAGTACTCCAAGGTGGCAACGTCTTCGGCCGGAAGCTGGGAAGGCTACTTGAAGACGTCACTGGGCCATCAGCGGGTGCACCAATGGCTCGACAAGAAGCTGCAAGGGGCGGTAGATGCGTGCAGGAGAGTGTAAATTGCGATGGTATGATGAGACAACCAAAGCTGCGAAGGGCCGATCGAGCTGAAGAGAGAAATGTTCGGCGGATACTCGCCATTTGGACCGAGCGGCTGCTCAAAGTCAGGTCGTGGAGGAGTCTCAAGTATTCGTCGGCGCGCCAAAGTGCCTCGCCTAGAAGCAGGACTTTGGAAGATGGGCTCTGAATGAACATAAGGCAAGAGGCGTGCAGGATTTCAGGATGGAATGTGGCTGACAATGGGCAAGTCCGATGAAGCCCTTCCTCGATGCACACAGGGTTAAACGGTTGGGCTTTTGGGATGGTTCGCCTTAAAAGCTTTATCCAGTGCACCCGTACGTAGGTTGACGCATGTGGATCTCGTCAAGTTAGTTTCGCCGATGTCGCGCTGCCTATGGCTCAGCTACGTCCAGCAGTGCCCTCATGCGCAGGCCGTGCAACTTGGGCCAACTTCCGCAGCTTTCGGAGCACCGCCTTGACAGGTTTGGCCATGGGCAAGAAGCAAAGGGAGGAAGAGGAGGAGGAGGAGGAGGAGGAAGAAGAAGAGGTTGGGAAACTGATACAGTTCTCCGGCTGTTGTGAGGGCAGGAGGTGCTTTCTTGTTTGAGCCAGGTAAAGCCTAAGAAGAAAGCGAAGGCGGAAGCCGTGGAAACGGAAGAAGCCGCATTCGAGGCGGCTTTCGACTTCCTGCTTCTGTGAAGCTGTTTGGTCATTGGTGAGGACCCTGCGCTGGACAACGATGACGGCGAGCCCACCCAGTTCTCCGTTTCCGTTGGCGGCCTCAGCTTTGACACCAAGCGGGAGACTGTGCGCAAGGCGCTTCGATAGGCATGCCTCAAAATGGATGAGAACCCTTTGCTGCTTACAGAGGGAATGTGACAGCCATTTTCAAACATTCCCCCCAATTTTCAGAGACCCAAATGCGATGGAACAGTTTCCAGCCCTGGCTGTTTTCTGCTTCTTGGGCCTTTGTGATAAAATGTGTCGACGTTAGGCAGATAGCAAAAAAGACCAAGACTCCAGCAACAGGTGCTTTGCAGTTTGTTCGACATTCCCCTTCAGGCTTTCAGGACTCACTCGCCTTTCATACCCTCGAGCGTCGTGATCCGAACTCCGGAGCCGCAGGCCCTGAAGAAGTTCGGAAAGGTCGTCACGGTGAGGAGATGGGTCCGAGGTGCACCCCGCCGCGCGGACGTATCCTTCTCTGCGGCGGAAGAGATGGACGCGGCCATTGCGGGGATGGCGGACAAGGAGGGAAGTATGGGACATTTGAGGGTTGGATGCAGTGTCGAAGCTTTTCCAGGCACGGCTTTTGGTGTGATTGCACGGGGAGAGATCTGGAAAACGGACCTGATTTGCTGATCCGCAGGAGATTGATGGCCGGCCTGTGAAGGTCAAGGCCACTCCCAAGGAAGAGGAAGCTAGCCCGAAGAAGGGCAAAGGGAAAGGTAAAGGCAAAGGAAAAGGGAAAGGTAAAGGAAAGGGAAAAGGAAAGGGAAAAGGAAAGGGTGGCGGTGGCGGTGGCAGAGGTAGAGGCTGAAGACTTTGAGGCACTGTTGCTGTTCACCGAAGGCGGAGAAGCTTAGCTCTTGACCCGCAAGCGCGTGCTGTTTCTCGGATCCAAGCGCGGACAGGCACAATTTGCCTACTATGTTTGCTTCGAAGGGTCCTGCAAAGCAGGCTGTGTTCAAATGCCTTTGCTTTGAAGGCGAGGGCGGAGCGAAGGAAAACACACAGTGCATAAAGGAAAAGACCATTTGGGAGGAAGAACTCGTGATGCAGCCCGTGAAGGTATTATGAAGCGGAGCCGCCCACGCTTCATCGGATCAAGGTTGCAGCTTTCGGCAAGCGTAGGCAACACCAGCTAGACTGAGCCCGCACGGACTGACGACCAAAACAAACAAGAACTGAGTTCAGGTCAGAAACCATGCTGCACCAACCAAGCAAAGCCAGCAATCCTGAGCATGAAATTTGGTCTCTCACCTTACCGGCTTTGCCGGCATGTGTGCTGTTAAGTGCTGTTAGAGCATTGCCAAAGTGAGATCCTGGCATGCCCATTGCAAGTACAGAAGGATTTCTCCGTGCTTGGCAAACAAGTTGTTAGGGTTCACCATTTGAAGTTCGCCTCAGAAGGTCAGCCAGGCTTCACTATTGGGAGGTTCTTCCAATGTTGTTCATATTGTAACCCAGTCAACTAGCCAGGACTCAACTTTTCGTATGACTGAACTTCCCCAGAATTAGTTCCCCTTTTTATGTTTTTTGCTTTTTTGGGGTTCCCTTTGTTTTCCACTAACCAGGCAACACATTTTCTTAAAAAAAAAAACAAAAAAACTGGGGTCCCAATTCCAGAGTGAAGTTAAGCGATTTCTATTTTTGCTTTTCGCAACGGAAGGGCGCGTCCGCCAAGTAGGCCATGTGTCATGGAGGGCCTTGAAGGGCTCAGCTCCGACACTCGCACGCAGGCGGGGAATTCTCTGGGGTGTCAAAGGGGCCTCGGGTAGGGGCGGGGCAGGGTGGGGTGGGGACCAAGACGGGTTTTTGGTGGGCAATGTGTGCACAGAAACGCACAGAAGGATCCCGAAAGACGATAGGCAAAGGTGAAACGGGAGTTCGCATTGCGAAGTTGGGACTTTTACCCGAGACACTCCAACCACCACGCCGCCCCAGAGCTCGTCGATGAGTTGCGTCGTCTTCAAGGGTCATGCTTGGTTGTCATACATTGGTCACTTACACCTCAAACCCCTCTCTCGTGCTGTTGGCACTCAAGACTGACTGAAGTAGATCCGACAAATCCACCAAGCCTTGGGGCCTTTGGCATCACCGGGGCTGGGACGCAGATTCTGCTGTCCGCCCTCTTGATTCTCTACCAGGGGTTTTGGGCAGACTCCTGCGCCGGGTGTTGATTGGGACACTGTGTTGAATTCCCTCCCTCAAAATCACTCCGCAAGGTATGGGATGTCGATGAAGAGCCGCTGCTGCGACATTTCTGCCTGGAAGCAGAGTGCGAGCAGGAGCGGGACTGCCTGGTTTGGCTAAAGGCTAAAGGGACTAAGCAGAATGCAAATTCTACTGCTCCACTGTTCCTTTGACGACTAAGCATCTTGGCTGGCGTCTCACATAATCACAATCCGAATCAGCGAAGATTAGCAAGGGGTGGTCCCAACCATTGATTGGCACGTACGGGCGCTCTTTGAGTCTTTACATTGATTTGGGGAAGCCATTTTACTACAATGTTTTGATTCTGGGTAGGCAATTTTTACCACCAGGTTTTGATTGTGGCTCAAATTTTGTCTGGAAAGCAACCTAAAGAAGGGTCCCCTCAACCAAAAAGGGAACCCACCAGCCTTGGCGTTTTCTGAGCTGGGCGCAGGTGCTGGAGTGGTTCATGGGCCAGGGCTACAAGAGACCTGAGGACTGCACGCGTGTGTTGTCAAAAGGCTGCAATGATACCAACAAAGTAGGCCCACACGTTTTGCGAGCAGTTCCCAGTCAACAGTCCTGGCCTGCAAGACTAGGACTTCGCGGACCGCATAGCTCTGGCAAAACGTGCAGCTGGCTTGTCGCAGTGCTTAAGACGCTGTGCAAGGCACATGGCGCGTCAGGAGACACGAGCTGCATGAGCTGCATGTGCATGGGTCAAACCACCTTGCGCGGTGGAGTGTATTGCAGGTCCTGGTCCTGCAAAGCCATGTCGGGGTTCTGAATGTCCTTCTTGAGTTAGCCTTGACGGCTTCCTCTGCAAGCTTCAACACACAACACACAGCACACACACACACACACAACACACGCACACAACACCCCCACACACGGCACAGAACACAACACACAACACAGCACGCAGCACGCAACGCACACACACACACACACCAACACACACACACACACACACACACACACACACACACACACACACACACACACACACACACACACACACACACACACACACACACACACACACACCATACTTGTACGCCACCTTACGCCAACAACTGTGTATCTTATAACATACATGTATGCTATACCCTGCCCATATACCCCTTATACCTTACATAGCAACACTACCTTTATACTGCATATAACATGCATACTTATACGCATAACTGCATACTATACTATACTTATATACTATATATATATATACCTTAACATATACATACTTATACTGCTCTTATACTATCTTATAATATACATACTTATGTATACTTTACTATACTTATACTATACTTATACATGTATACTTATACCTTAACATACCTTAACATACTTATGCATGCGCACACACACACACACACACACACACACACACACACACACACACACACACACACACACACAGATGTGTGACGCCCTGCCTTGGATCTTGCCCTGCTTCTCTGTGCGATCAACCCTGCCCCCTGCAACACGTCGCGCCTGCCGCCTCTGCCTGCGATCTTCCGCCCTGCGCCTCTGCTGATCTTCCCCCTGCCTTCTGCCTGCAGCCTTTGCCTTGCTGCCTTTCTGCTTCTGCCTGCCTTCACCTTCCTGCCTTCTTGCCTGCCTTCTACCTTCCTGCCTTCTGCCTTCTGCCTTTACGTTGTCTTTGGCCAAAGATCCACCTGCAACCCTACCTTCTGCCTTACCGCCTTTCTGCCTGCCTTTCTGCCCTGCCTTTCTTTGCCTGCCTTACTGCAACCTGCCTTCACCTTCCTGGGTCTGCGCTTCGCGCGTTACTGCCGCCTGCCTTGCGCTGCGCTTTCTGCCTGCTTCTGCCCTGCCTTGCCCCTGCCTTCGCCCTGCGCTGCCTTTGCCCTGCCTTTACCGCTGCGCCTGCCTTCACTTCCCTTTTTCACCATGCATACAGCCATGCGGCCATGGCCTTATGACCTGTTGCGGCCATCTTCAGCGTCAGTGCATCATGGATATGCATTTGTCCACGTGCCGCCGCAGTGAAGCTGGTGTCCTTTATCTTTGTGTGACATCATGCCGGGCTTGTTCTAGCGATGTGACATCCTTATTTAATATGACATGTGACATCATGACGTCATGACATCTTGTTTGGCATCTTGTTATCATGTGTGCTGTAATATCTGTTGTATTATATATTATCATAATATCCGCGCCAAGCGCTCTTATTTATATGACCATCATGTTATGTACTGTTGCCTGCCGCCTACCCCGCCTACGCCTGCCGCACAACGGGCCCTGCCTTGCCTACTTTGCCCTGCATGCATGCGCCATACATACATGCATGCATGCCATGCATGCATGCATGCGTGCGTGCGTGCGTGCGTTGCGTGCGTGCGTGCGTGCGTGCCACCGCCACGCCACGCGCGCGCGCCCGCACCACGCCACGCCACGCCCACGCCCCTGCGCACGATCACGCCCACGCCTACGCGCCGCCGCGCCCCAGCGCACGCCCCCGCAGCGGCCCCTGCGGCCACTGCCTGGCGGCCTGCGGCCTGCGGCCTGGACCTGCCTGGCCTGGACCTCGCCTTCGGCGCCTGCGGCCGCCGCGGCCGCCCGCACCACGCCACGCCACGCCCTGCGTGGCGGCGCCCCCGCACCACGCCCACTGCGCGCTGCGTATGGCCGGCCTGCCTTCCTGCTTGGCCTGCGGCCTGCCCCAGCCCTGCCTTCGCATCGCAACCCTGCCTTCCCTGCTGGCCTGCCAGCCTGCTTCGGCCTGCTGGCCTGCCGGCCTGGCAGCCTGCCTTCTGCCTGCCGGCCTGCTGGCCTGCTGGCGGCGCAGCGCCGGCGCGCCGTGCCACACCGCACCCGCGCCCCACGCGCGCCACGCGGCGGGCGCCGCCCACGCACGCCCGCACCCGCCCACTGGCGACGCCAGCGCGCCCGTGGCGGCCTGCGTCTGCCCCACGGCGCGGACCTGCAGCCCTGCCTTTTCTGCCCCCTGCCTTCTGCCTTCTTGTACTGCCTGCCAGCCCCTGCCTTCGCCTTACCTGCCTCCCACCTGCCTCCCCCTGCCTGCCTTCTGCAGCCTGCCGCCTGGCAACCCTGCCTTTCTTAGCCTGCCAGCCTGCAGCACTGAAGCCCTGCAGCCCTGCCGCCTATGACCCCGCGCGCCCTGTAACCTACCTTCCCTGCTCCCTGCCTTCCTGTGTTGTACCACCTACCACCTGCATGGGCTCTGCACACCACAGCTGAAACCACACCTGCAGCCCCAAACCACACACGCCTGGGCTCACCGTGAAACCATACCACCTGCAGCCCCAAACTCCTGCACCCCACCTGGCTAAGCCACCTGTAGCTGAAGCCACCTGGGCTGAGCCACACACGCTGACCACACACACACAAGCTGAGCCTGCCCACACCTGGCTGAAACCATACACCACACCTGCAGCGCAAACCACACCTGCAGCTGAGCTGGACCACAGCTGACCTGGACACGGCCCCAAACCTGGACACAGCTGAACCTGGGCTAAACACACACACAGCTAAAACCTGCCTATAGCTAGTACCTGCACTGGCAGCAGCTGGCTCACCTGGCTAAACCACCTGCAAGCTGGAAGCCTCACCGCTAAACCTGCCCCTGCCGCTGGATCTACACACCTGCAGCTGGATCTACCTGCCCAGCTGAAGCCACCTGCAGCTGGGCTCACCCACACACACACCTGCACCCAGCTAGGCCAAAACACCACACACCCAGCTGGATTCCACCTGCCTGGCCAAACCTGTGCAGCTGGGCCACCACCACACAGCAAACCCCACAGCCCAAACCACCTGAGCTCATACCTGCGACCAAACCTGCAATGAAACTAAAGCTAAACCACCTGCAGCTAGGCTCTACACACACACCTGGCCCCAAACCTGCCTGGCCCAAACACTGCAGCTGATCCTGCAGCTGGACCACACACCACCACCTGGACCCGCACCACCCAACATGACATAAACCTGACCACCCTGCCACCTGAACCACCTGACCACCTGACCTGACCTGACTGCGCAGCCTCTGCCACCCACACACCACAGAACCAGCCTGAACCATATGACACCTGACCCCACCTGACCACCTGGCAGCCGCCACCACAGTGACACACACACAGCACACAACACACACACAACACACAACATACAGCACACACACACACAACACACAGCACACAGCGCACAATACACCACAACACACAACAACTACGTGCTTTTTACTCACTCACGATTTGGCAGCTACAGAAATTGCCAGGCTTGAGGGAGCTCAGCAATGACCGCATCAAGCAATCAGACATCGGAGGAGGTATGCGCGGAAGCTCAACAGCCGGTTGTTCTTTTTGTTCTTTTGTAGGGTACTTCTCTTGCTGTTTTACAGCCGAACCTGCCATTTTGGGGTCCCATCCAACCCCTGAGCAAGAAAGTGCGGGCCAACCCTTTCAAGGAGTGTGCAATCCCTGATCCTAGGTTGACTCTGGGGAGTTTGTTCACGAGTTCTGGCAAATCATTTGCAGCCAATCAGGTAGGCATGGGCACAGCACTGACTCGTGAGCATGTTGCCTGTAGCATTTGCGGTTTGGAGCTGGATACGGATGGCCGGTCTCAGGATGCTGGCACTTGGAAGCCTGCATTGCCTGGACTTCAGCAAGGATGGAGCTGAGAGAACGGTGTGATGCCGATTTCATGCACATGGGTTTGTCTCATGGAAGATTCCTCAACGTGGGGCGGTTTCCCTTTTTACCTTCAAACCAATCCCCAAAAGGATATCCTCAAAAGCAGGGCACGCCCACGTGGATGCAACACGTTTCATACCTTTAGGGGACGGGAGGGGCCATAATTTTGCTTGCTGTCGGACCCCGTGTAGAGGCAAAGGGCTATCTTTAGCTCGAGAAGGGGTCCACGGCCATTTACAATGGTTTTGAACGAGCAACCGTCATGTTCAGCTTGTGGGTTGGCATCCAAGGCCCGTCATTAGTACACTGGGCAAACAATTGTTGATTGGCCAGTTTTGCTCAGGGTCAGTCTGCAATCCAAAGTGATGAGCAGAAGGAGGAGGCGGGGGCTCCTGGCGTTTCGGCGGCCCGGGAAACCACGGCAGTTAGCTGGAAAAGCAGTACGCAAGTTGCGCGTGACAAGTAGGAATCATACCAAACTGGTGGAGTGTCAAGGGACCATCAATGTGATACGTACCGTGCGATACCCCAGGACATCAGCCACTTGGAGGAGCCCATGTTGAAAAAGCCACAATGCTAGCTAGTTGCATCGGCTTGCCAGGTGTCTGAGGCAACGGTGCCGCTTCTGAGCAACCTGAGGCTGGTTTGGGTTGCCTCTTTCTTGTGTTGGCCTGGGGTGCATAGACGCTGGCTAGAAAGAGGATTGGAAATCCAGCACATGTTGATCAGCGCCAAGATCCGACCGGAGTTAAGTTTCAGGGACTCTTCCTGGTTCATGAGGGCGACGGTTGAATGAAAAGACATACACTTGAGGACAGCCAATACACTTGACGGCCCATTTGGCCGCAGCTTCATCTTCCTGAAGCGCGACGACTCGCACAACTCGGTTCGCGCTGCGACGTTGGGGCTCAGCCTCGCCACTAGGCCAGGTCCCTGAGATCTTGCTGGGCAAACAGGTGCCGGTCCAAACTAGGGATCCCTCCGAATAGAATTGCTGTGTTGCGACGTTTTCCGTTGAACTACAAAGGGGTTTATAGCTTTCATGGGTGTGTCTGATGGCAACCCTTGTCGGGGCACCTTTCTTGGAGGTACCCTCATTTGGAGACAGAGCCACACAGCCCGGACCGCTCGCCCTCTCAGCGTTTAAGCCTTTTGGGTTGCAGCCAGACCCGCGGAGAGGTGCCCTCCTAACATGGAACCCAAAGGGCCTGTTAGGAGCATTGCCAAGGACCTCCAGTCAGGTTCCGTGTGGGAGGATGAAAAGGGTGATGCAGCCAAGCAAAGCATCCAACTTGAAAGAGGAGTTGCTATCTACTTGACCCAAAGTTCTTTAACCAGCCTCGAAACTGTCGCGTGCCAGGGCAGGCCAGCCTTTGCGTGCGAAGCTGCTGTACCGCCGAGGCTACGGAGTTGAGACGGGAGGAGAAGAATTGGCTGGGTCCTTGAAATCGAACATTCAGAGGGCTTCTCAAAATCATTGTTCGGGATGGTTTCCCTTGTCAAACCATTGAGAAGGCAGCTAGAATATCACTTAGATGGACCCAGATTAGGGCCACAAGGGTGATAGACCCGATTTTCCCATGCCCACTTGAGGGAGCAGGTGAGCCACAATCAACGCCAATCTAAGTGAAGGTTAGTAAAGGGACAGTCCCGCTGCCTTTAAACAGAGTGGATATTTGCCCTTTTGATTCTTCGCATGGTTTTGGGTGCACCGATGTGGTGAATGTCAAAGAATATCCTTCCTTGTTTTGATTAGACGCTCTTTGATCTTACTTTGACACGAGGACCAGGTTGACACAACCAATTTTGACATCAGCACAGGTGGTTTTGCTTCCGTTTGGCCTTGCCTTCGGGGGGCTCTGAAAGGGCGACAGCTCGGAGCCATATAGAGGCTTGGCCAAGGGCAAGCTGGGTTTTCAACCTTGCCCAGAAATGAATTCGCAGAGACAGTGTTCGGCTTTCTCAGGTTTCCGAGGGGACCCATGGCCTCTTTTCTCGAAGCCAGGCTTGGGGCGATGTGGGTGCCTCGGTTTTGCCGCATTTCATCTCCATCCCCGAGGGGTTTATCAAAATGAAACACAGGCAGGAAGCATTCATTTGATGAGTGGCATAGAGTCCTTGGGAACTCTTAAAGAGTTCCTCTGCAGCGCATTGGAATCGCATACTTCGCCTTCAGTCAGGTTGCTTTTTGACCGTTTTACTGGATGCCAGGGGTTTGGGTCCCGGCTCATGTGAGGTGCCATGAGTTCACTCGGGTGAGGCCAGGTCAAGGAGTTTGAGGAGGCGCTGAAGGACTTCGTGGAATCCGCCAGGCGGGGCGTCAGCCTGGGGGGGGGGGTGCGTGGGAGGGGGGGGGGGCGATGCGTGCGGGAAAGGAGCAAAGGCCAAAGCACTTGGTGCTAGAAATCTTTTGGGTATGCACGTATCGATACACTTTGTGCCTAACATTTATACTATACATACACACATATGTATTATGCATGTATGTATGTTGCATGTATGTACCCCACAAAGAAGGGCGGGCCTCCTATGAACAAAAGTCCTCGAAAATAACGCAGCCTACGATAAAGATTTCGGAAATCGTTGTCTTGGCAGCGGTAGCTTTCAAAGGGCATCAGGGATGATGATCCAAATGTGAGCAAATGAACGTAGCTTTTTCCGTGGCTTGTTTTATTTGAGCAGAATCAGACAAACAGTTAGTCAGTTTGTTTGCTCTGCGTTCTTGCCTTCTTGCTTGGCATCCTATTCTATTTAGCTGCACCTTGGATGTCCATAGCGTTGGATGTCGGCAGTGACAGCTTCGCGGTCTGTCCTGTTCCCGCCCTGTTCGCGGCACGCGAGTGTCATGGGCAAGAAAGCCATCAGAGTGACCACTCCAACATTGGGCTTGTAGTTGGGCTTATGCCTGGTTCAATTGGGCTTGTAGTTCAGCCTGTATAAGTCTTTATACAAGCCATTTGAGCAGAACCAAAAGTCAACCGGTTCGTGGAGGCTCCAGCGAGCGCTGATCCCTTAGTGTTGATCGCCTGCCACTCGCAGGCTCGCGCCAGAAGACCGCGAGATACGAATCGCCCTGGATGATTGCAAGGCTGGCCACGTTTGGGCTCAAGGGAGGCCCAAAGCTGGGTGTTGTCCCAAGGGCCAGCCAGTTTTCAGACAGCCACTGTGGGCTGCCTGCATGAGGCGGCAGCGAGAGGACAACAGGAATCATTGAAGGACAGGCAGCGGCCCTGTGTCCGAGAGCCTGTGCTTGTCACGGGTGCGGTTTATTTTGGGTTGATGGGGGATGCTATGAGATGCTCAAGCCTTTGGAAGGGATTTGAAATGCGCTTTGGCAGTGATGGGAATCCGGGATTATTATGAAGCTGCCAGGTTGACTCAGGGGGTCTACAACCCCAATCACCTTTTTGGGGTCCCGGAGCCTCCCAAATTCTGTCAGGTTGACTGTGGAGTCAACACCTAGGCGCATCAAGCGCACGTTTGGCCACGGCGCAGGTGGCGGGGAGCCATGACCCCGACGAAGTTGAGCGCTGCGGGCTGAGAGGTGCGATTTGTGCTTTTCAGCGCCTTGGACCGCTGGTTGTGGATGGGGGGCTTAGGTTGCCGCTTTCTGTACCAAGAGATTTGTAAAGAAACCTTGTTTGGCTCGTTTCAAATGGAAGCCAACGTGGTGGCAACCACTTGGAGTGAAGCCTCCTCGCCTTTGGCCTCCGTTTTTGCAGCGAGGTGCGGAAGAAGTTGCAGCGATGTTTCCGCACAGCCAAGTACCAGACAAAGCAGGCCGTTGCCCTTCCGTTCATGCCACAAGTTGCCCGGGTGGGAGGCCTAGTTGCAGAACCCCTTTTGGATGGCTTCGATGAGAAACTAAGAGGAAGCCAACCACCGGGGCGTTTCCCTATGACCGGACGCACGAAGTTCCGCAGGCGCTGTCACAGGGTGCTGAAGGCTTTGTGGAGCTGGCCTCAGATCTGGCTGAAGTGCCTCAAACTGGCCCATTGATGGGGCCAGGGGTAGTATCCCACTGGGATGTTTTGGTGAGCTAAATTCGAGTTGCGGGAAGTGGGATCAATGTTATGTCCTGGAAGTGGCCGGTAGTACTGAGACTGTCGGCATCATTCTGCTGGCCCCACTGTTCAGTGCTCAGCATTGGGGGTATGGTGGCTGCATCATCCTCCAGAGTGTGCTTTGCAGGAGTTGCGTGCATTCCAACCCCGCTATCACAGATGCCCGCCACTGCTGCCAGTTGAAGCTGGAACCAGCAAATCCATGATGTTAACAGTAGCAGCACCCTTTGTCGATTCATACGCGAGGCACTGGCATGGTCAAAATGCATTGCCATCTATTTTTGATCACCCTCGCCTACATTTTGCGGAACCATGCGCTGAATCGCATCGCCGCGCTTGCCAAGGTGCGCCTGTGCGTTTGGATTGTTGCTGCGGTTTCTGCGCCGTGGATAGATTTACACATCACCATGGTGCTGATGCAGTTGAGAGGCCCACAAGGTTCAGTCTGATGAAACATTTGAACGATGGCATTGCTTTTGGCTAGACGTCAGGATAGAATTGGTTGAGTGCCGCAAGCTCCATGGATAGGATGAGGCAAGCAGAACTCGCAACGCACCAGCGTTGCTTGCAAGCACACAAAGATCGGTGCTTCGCTTTTCTTTTTCCCCCTTTGCGTGGAAAGGAAGCCGACTTGCTGTGCTTAGCTGGGCAATCCGTTTGTGTGCATGGGATTGACGATACTATGGCAACGCATGGGTATGATTTTGAATTGGGGACCCTGTGGCGGGCATATTTCCAAGTATCTCACTCCCAGAGCTAGGAAAGGGAGAGAGCGAGAGAGAGAGAGAGAGACGTGTGAATCTCTCAGTTTTAATCAACGTTTCCCTAAACTGCGAAGCATTGGGGTTCTAACTTGAGGTTTACAGAATGGGAAACTGTGACGCTGGCTGCGGGGTCGTGTTTTCCACTTGTTATCCTGCTCCTGCTTGTCTCCATGCGTCTCCCACTCAGATGCCAGATGCTGTGACGCCGGCCCCAGGGTCGTGTCTTCCGCTTGTTTCCTAATGTCTCCGAGCCTTTCCCAGATGCCAGAAGCTGCGAGTTCGTGTCTCCCACTTGTCGCCTTGTGTCTCCGAGTCTCTCCCAGATGCTAGATGCCTTCACACTGTCACGCTCCGTTCCTGCAAGGGGCAGTCGTCGCCCCGTGTTACTTTTTTGCTGCTTGGGGTCGAGGCTGGTGTGATTGAGGGTATTCCGAATCAAGAATAGCTGTGTGAGGCTTTGGTTCGAACGACCAATTTGTTGTGGGATGTATACGTCTCAACATGGGGAGCCCCCCTCATGTGGGTTTGCCGTCATGAGCTCGTGTCTCAGTCTCAAGGCTCTGAGCCACGGAGTTGCCGTAGCGCTGAGAGGTTCCATGGCCACTGGATGTGCAAAGGTACCAAACGCAGGCAACAAGGAAAGCGTTCAATGCATGTGAACACTGTGAAAGCTGTTTGAACTTTGCATCTGGTTTGCTTTGCCGAAGCCTCGCCATGGTGAAAAAGCCCAAGGACAGGATCGAATAAGAGTCTGGAGCAAACATGATGCACATGTGCCGATATGATTATTCATGGCCGAGATCCTTGGCATTGGAAATGATTGACTCGGCAACAGAATGTTCTCCCCCGCAGTGACTCGCAAAAGGCTTTTTGCAAGAAGCGGGGGATGTGCAACTTGGAGCGTGTTCAGTGTGATGGGAACGCTAGCGTGTCCGCCCATCAACGCTGTTCAAATGCTCTCAGATATGCACCTCAGGCAGGTCCAACCTAGTTCGCCAGTAGCTCAAAACGGGCGCAGCACACGTTGTGGCGAAGGCGGACGCCTCAAAACGTTAGCTATAGCACTTGCAGTTCGAACAGCGCGACGGCTGCGGCAAAAGCTCCGCCTTGCAGGAGAGGCGAGAGGATCTCGTCGGAGGGCCAGAGCGAGGGGCTCAGCACATGTTGACGGATGTGACGTGTCAAAATCGGGGACCCCCCGACAAATGAGAGGTGCCACGTTGGCGTTCCTTGAAACCAACTGCAAGCAGCGCACCCTCACAAAGGCACACACACACACACCGTGCAGATGCCTAGGCTGGCAGATTCCGACATTGAAGAAGCTGACATCGAAGCCTTGGCAAGGCACAGCCCGCGCGAGACTGCTGCTTTTCTTTGAGGGGTTTCCACTACCACCGAAGCGAGCACTGGATACTCCATTCATACGAGAGTGCCCCGAGTTCTATGCACGTGTTTGTTTGCTAGGGTTTGTAAACAAAAGCCACGGCTGGCTGAAGCAAAAGAGGCGGGAGCCAATGCATAGGCGGTTGGCCCAACCCAAGCAAGGGCTTTTCTGCCTGCCATTTATCGGGCTGGCAAAAACCAGGTCAAAGCTCCTGCCTGGGGAATACATCCTCGGGGAGGGGCCCGCACCGGATCAGGACCGGAGGTATGGGGGGGGGGGGGGTTCCTTGGAGATTTATTCATGTGGCAACGATTTCCTTGAGGCTTCCCCAGAATTTCTCAGAAACGGGAGCCAAACGTCGTGGTTCATGAAGGTCCCACCAAAGGAGGTTATTCGACATGGAAGGCCATGCTTCGGCCTGAGGAAGGGTTCCGGTAAAGGCAAGCATTTCCCGTATCAAAACAGGCCTTCCCACTTGTGCTGGTTGGGACAGCAGATTGCTACATGCGATGCGGAAGAAAGGAAGCTGAGAACTTGCACTCACATTCGGAGTCCGGCCTGACACATCATTGTGCGACTCAGTTTGCCCACTCCCAGGAGGGCGAGGAAGAGCCTGAGGCACAAGCGCCAGAGAGTGATGTAGCAGTGCGAGTGTAGCAGAATCCCAACAGTCAGAAGTGAGACAGGGCCATTGAAATGGCAGGCGGTCAAAAAGCAACGCGGAGTTTGCCTAGCACCACTGATCCTGAAACGCCTCACCGAGCTTGAGTACAAGGCGACTTTGGAGAGTCCTACTTGCTTGTGACGCCGTTTGTCCACTGGATGGTGCCCAAAAGCGATTGCGCCACTCAAGAGAGGGAGAGAGAGAGCACGAGAGGAGCAGTCAAGATGCTTGCTGCCCACCCACTGCTTGCGCGACGCATACCCGAATCGGCAGAATTTGTTTGCTGCGGGAACCCTACCATTGTTGGAGGCTTCTTGGTTTTCCGAGACGCCAAAAAGGGCCCCTCAAAAAAGGCAGGCGCAGGCCCACGTTTGGGAGCGTCAGGTGCCCGAAGGGGCAAAGCGCGTTCCCTGGGTCGCGGGGCCCCTGGGGTCCTGGCCATGAGTTGAGGTGGTTGCCACTTTGTCCCCGCGGAATTCTGATGCCCAAACGGTTGCGAAGAAAGAACAAATTCGCACTTGTCGGGCTCATTTGGGCAATTTCTGGTGGTGATGCTCAAAAGGGGATGCAGGGACAGGCTTGGGTCATGAGATTTGACTGTTTGGGGAAAGACCCCCGCAGAGCACCGAGGATTCTCTGGCCATAGATGGCGCGACCGAGTTGCCTAAGGGCGCCAGGGCCACAGGATTTCTGGAAGTACCTTGGATGCCTTGGATTTACCCAAGGTCAAGGCAAAAGATGGAGTCAAGCTCGAGAGCGCTTTCTTAGGCCGACTTGCTCGCTGACTGCATGGGGCCACGCCTTTTGGGACTGCTTCCACAGCAATCAGGATTCTCGAACCCGTTCACACCTGGCTCAAGCGATTCAGATCCTTCCGTACCTTTGGTTCTTGGTGTCAACAGCGATCGAGGTCCAATGAAGTGGATGAAGGTGCAAGCGCTGATTTCTGTTTTGCTGCTGGGCGTGGCCGCCAAGCCTAAGAAGCAAATCCCCGAGCCGCAGACGCCAGCCCCCGAGCAGCCGACCGCTGATCACGTGAAGTTCCAGGACTTGGTGGCAGGGCCGCTGAAGACCGCCTCTGATCTTGTGGACGACCAGGTGAGTGCCAAAATTGAGGGTGTCCTTTTGGTTTTATTTAAGCGCTTCGCGACACAGCCGGCCACCGGGAAAATGCACGTGGGGCGCTGGCCCTGTACCTGAAGGTAGGCCCTGCGGGGCTGAAGGCCCCGGTGGCCGGATGTTCCAAGCAGGTTTCGATATGTTCCACGTTCGCACCCGCCAAAAACCTTGAAAAACACTGTGTTTTTCACGTTTTCGGCAAGATTGGCCCAACCTAGGGGACAACATCCCCCGCATCACCGGCATCATCTGCATCAGTGCCCGCCATGGATGCGGATGATGCAGGCAATGCCGGGGATGTTGTCCACCATGGGCACCCCCCAAAAAACGCTCGTTTTTGACTCCGCGGGGAGTCGGTCCAAAAGCGACCCCTTTTCGCCCAAAACACGCCCGAACATCCTTTGCCCCCTGGCAGCGAGGTCACAGCGCAAAAGTATAGCGCATGGTCGGCGCATGGTCGGCGGTGGTCGGCGGCACAGGGCGGCCGGCCCTGTACCTGAAGGTAGGCCCTCCGGGCCTAGGCCTTCGGCTGTATCACGGACCACGGGGTCTGAAGCCCCCGGTGGCCGGATCCCTTCATTTCCCCTCATTTCCCTTCATTTCCCCACAAACCCCCTTCACCGTGGACAACATCCCCAGCATCCCCACCCCCTGCATCGACTGCATCACCCGAAGCAATGTCCGCCATGGATGCTCAGTTGTTGCTCCCTGTTGCAATCCGTTTTCCATTCATGCCATCAATGCCTTGTCCAGGAACTTTCCATCAATCCTCCACACCTTTTCCATCATCCCTTGTCCCTCCAAATTCCTAAATATTTTCATCAACGCCCCTTCATTTCCATCAATTTTGCATCCTTTTTGTCCATCCTTTTTGTCCGGATGATGCAGGTGCTGCAAGGATGGTGTCCACTACGGGCACCCCCCCAAAAAAAACAACAACAAAAAAACACGCTCGGTTTTTTGACCCCGCACGGAAATTATCATTTCCTTTTCCTTTACTTCCTGTTCCCGGGATTTGAACTTCATTTCCGTTGCATGTCATGCAGTTTCCTGGCATTTCCCTGCACTTCCTTTCGCTCATGTCAGCTCCCTTCATCTCCTTGAACGCCCCTTCACTGCTCGCACTCCTTTCCTTCAGTTTCTCTTCGCAACAATTTCTTTTCGTTCCCATCCTCCGGCTCCCTTCGCGTTCTGCCTGCATTTTCCAGCATTTTGTTTCCTCTCCAGTGCCTTCTTCATGCTGTTTCCCTTGCATTTCCCCTAAGCCCCTTGTTTCGCATCGCCAGCATGCATAGCATCATCCGCATCATCCGGGATGATGCTGGCAATGCTGGGGGTGTTGTCCAGTATTAGGCACCCCCTAAAAATGCTCGTTTTTGGACGCTGCGGGGAGATGCTACAAAAATCGCCTAAACCAATCCGCAAATCCTTCGCCCCTTATAAGGGAGGGCCCAGCATAAAACGTATGCGCATGGTCCGCTCATGGTCGGCGGCATGGGGCGCGCGGCCTTATACCTGAAGGTAAGCCCTACCGGGCTTTGGCCTGCGGCCCGATCACGTCCGGTGGCCGGATTTACACGCTGACGCGACACAGCCGGCCACCGGGCACCTGGCCCTGCCTGTTCTGTCACTTCCCTGTCCTTTAATTCGGATGAGATGCCGAGATTTGAACCTCACTTCCTTTGCGCGTCTTTCCTGCAACTTTGAGAGTTTCCTGGCATTTCCCTTTGCTTCCTGTGCGTTTGAGCTCCCTGCACTTCCTTGAGTGCCGTGTCAGTCGCATTTCTCCCCCCTGTAAGCACCCCAGCGCGAAGCCTTGTGCAAACTGCTCGACAGCTAAAACCACAGAAGCGCGCCAACACGCCAAACCCACATGCGCAGGTTGAAGCAGCATGCACGCGCTAGAACGGAAACAGGGCGGAAGTTGCCCCCAGGGCGCTTCTCAGTCATGTGCCTCTGCAGACATGGAGAAGAAGCAGCAGTCGCGATTGCAAACGCGCTCGAAAGGGAGGAGGCGGCAAGTTGCCCACAGGGCGCTTCTCAGTCATAGACCGCTTCAGCCATGGAGAAAAGGCGATGGTCGCGCCAGCCAGGGAATGCGCATGGTGTCAGAGCCGAAAAGGCCGCAGTTGCTTCCGTTGGATGTTTCCCGCCCTGTCACTTCATTTTCCTGCATTTGAAGTGTCATCTGTTTCACTGCCCTTCAGTCGCTACTCGTCATCTACCGGAAAGTTGCCCGCAGGGTGCTTCCAAGTCGAAAAAGAAGTGGAAGGAGGGCGGGGGCCAGCCCGTCAGGCCCGCCCCTGCACTTCCAGTCCCTGCACGTCCTTGCCTTTCCTGTTACTTGAGCCCCGTCCAGGTTCCCATCCATGTCCGAGCCATCCCATCTGCTTTCTCCTTTAGTGTACTTTGTTTTTTTAGTTGCCATCAATCATCCATCCATTTTCCACCAGTTCCATCCCTTCCATACATTATTATGCATCCGTTCTCCAACACTGTTCCACCCGCTTCCACAAGCTGCCAGCAGTGTCGCCATGCATGTTGCAAGAGCAGTTTGGCAGTTGTAAGGGAAGCCGAGTGAAGCTAAGGGACGCCAGACAGCACAAGCAGATTGATCACCCCGCATCAGTTGACCGCGCGCTGCACAGCGTCGCAAGGCATTTTGCAAGCGCAGTTTGGCAGTTTTAAGGGAGGCCGAGTGAAGCCAAGGGAGCGCCTGAAAATGTTCGTTGCACAAGCAGCAGCATGTTTCACATAGCAGCCACCAATAATGTTCATCGTGCTTGCAGCAACATGTTTCACGCGGCAGCTCTTGATGACGTTCGCCGCAGAAGCAGCAACATTTCTCGCGCAGCAGCTTTCAAAAACATTCGTCGCATCAGCAGCAACATGTGTCACACAGCAGCTTCTGAAAACGTTAGTCGCTCAAGCAGCAACATGTGTCACGCAACAGCCACGTCGGACTAGCAGCAATCACACAACAGATTCGTCGCACTAGCTGCGATGGAACTTTTTTTTTTGTCGCAAAGCCTTGCAGGCTATTTACAAGGGACAAAAAAAGCAACAGTAGGAAGCAAGGTCCACTTCAGTAACAAGCCCTTGGCTTGGCGCCAGGTTTTTGGAAACCAGCTCTGCGGGCAAGCCAACCCTCGAACCGTTTCAGCCAAGCAAAGCGCCGCAAACAAACCTGTCGTTGAGGGTTGTTTCAATAGTCTGGTTTCACCTGAACGTGGCGCGACTCTTTCACTGTAAGACACGAAAAAAAGAATATGAAAACACCTTGGGAATGTCACATGTTGCGCATGATTACTCACAAAGGCAGGGCCAACTTGCGGTGCTTCTCTCGCAGCAGTTGCAGCTCGCAGCTCAGACTTGTCCAAACTGTTAGACAGCTGGGGCCGCGCCCGAAACACGCCAACAGGCTTCAGCCACAGGAGTCAAGCATCACGCACGGTCTAGCGCCGGAAGAAGGGGAAAGTTGCCCGCGGGGCGGACAAGGAGCTGCAGGCTGGTGACAGTTGCCCATGGGGCGCTGGTAAGTGATTTAGCAGCGCATGGCAAGTGGGGCTGGGCACAGAGCCGGGGGTGTAGTCGTGGCAGTTCCTGGAGATGGCTGGTGCCTCTTCCATGCGGTGGCAAGGTACGGGGCCAGGCCTGGAGCAGGTGCTAGGCCGCGCTGGTGTCTGCGTGCTGCAGCGGAGATCTACTTGCAGGCGCTAGAGTGGCTGTGGGCGGCGCTGGCTGGACCAGATGCCGCAGCAACTGAAGCAGCTTGCGTGCCAGAAACGGAGGCGGAGTTGGAGCGACACCGAGACTTCGTTCGACGGCGCGGTGGCGTGGAGGCACAGGTTCCAGACGCCAAGCTGGTGCTGTGGAGTAAGGTGCTGGCTGTGGTGGAGCAGCCTAACGGTCTGGACTCCTTCCATCATGGGACCAGCGCAGAATTGTGGGCGCTCACCCAGCAGTTCGACTTCGATGCTATAGTATGGAGCGGCGTCCCTGACGCGAACTACTGGGCACGAACTCAGACTCGTGTCACGGACGAAGAATGCCGGACGGCAGTGGCTCGGCTCCCGACCGTGCTGCAGCTGCTGCACCGAGAGATCGGCAACGTGGGGCACTATGATCTGCTCGGGACCGATGCCGTGTCTCCGCAGCCGTTTGCGCGGACACCTTGGGTGAGGCGGTGGGCCGAAGGCGGCAGTGAAGCCATGTGGGAAGTGCTAGGCATGCCAAGGCGGCCCGAGCGCATCCATGCTCCAATTCCTGAAGTGGAGGCGGACGTCTGGTCCGAGCCAGAAACCAAGTGTGACGTGGTCTTGTCAGACAAAAACTCGGACAAACTAGACATGGAAACCGATAGTGTGCCAAGGCAGCCCGAGCGCATCCATGCTCCAATTCCTGAAGCGGAGGCGGACGTCTGGTCCGAGCCAGAAACCAACAGTGACGTGCCCTTGTCAGACAAAAACTCTGACAAAATAGAGATGGAAACCGATAGTGTGCAGTCGTGGGACTCGCAGGATGCCAGCGACGAAGCTGAAGAGCTCGGCCCGGTGGCGGTGGAAGCCAGCAAGACGTGGACCACCCTGGAAGACACAGACGTCCACCTTGCCGAGCAAGTGGCATCCCTGCTGCGGCCGACGCCGCTGCTGCCGCCGCCGCTCCCGGCCTGGAGTGCCAGCATGTGCGCGCCTGCCTCAGGAATAGTCTACCCCGCCGTGCATTGCGCGTTTGCAGGCTGCGCTTGGTGCAGCGAGATGCAGCCGTGTCAAGAGGCCTCGGGGCACGCTGGAGCGTGGGTGGTGCCAGACTTACACTGGACTCGTCTGAGTGGCGCCTGCTGCGGCAAGGCGAACACGTGTCTCTGGGCTCACTTGGCCGCGTGCCACTGGGACAGCCTGTGTGCCGGCCAGGCAGGGCAGGAGTGGTGGCAGGCCAAGAGCCGGTACATGCGAGCCCTCGTTTGCCGAGAGGAGGCA